ATTATAATATATAACATATTCTAACCTTCAAATCATATTTGTACATATAAAGAGTATATTTTTAAGTTTACTTTCATAACAAATGATAATAAATTATAAAAATATGCAAAATTTTTACGTGGGTAATATTCTAAAAATATTATTATAAGAATCATGTGGTTTAACGTATATTTAATTATTATAATTTTTAACAGTTATTCCTATGATTCTTTGGATTGATGAAAATATATGTTCGTAAAAAATTTTCTTGTTCCTTCAAGGCGTATTAATAGCATTATTATAATATAAAGCATACGTTTTAAAATAAATACGATTTATATTTTTTAAAAAATTTTTATTTACATATTTATTTAATTATATATTTCAAGTATATTGATAGCAATTATAGAAACCTGGAATGATAATAGAATAAAATGAAAGAAAACTTCATATAAAATCCTTTAAATACTTTTTATGTATTAGTAAATATTATTATTATTGTTAAAAAGTTAAAGGAATATTAAATCAATATAACCTACATTTACTCAAATATATATGTTATATTAAATATAACCATTCTGAACTGTAAATATATGTATTAATTATAGTTCTTAGAATCCCCCCGTTTTTTACAGACTCCATTGTATTGTAAAATACATAATAAAGATAAATATATGCTTATTCTTATTATTTATAATTTGTGAATGTTTTGTTTAAAAAATAATCTGTCTTATATGAAGAGACAGCGAAAATGTATTCACTGTAGATATGCATATTTAATAAGCGTGTATAATATTTAGTGAAATTACCATGCCCCTTATTTATGTTTATGCCTTAAGAATGATATAATTATGCAAAGAAAAAATTTATACTATGAAAAATATAATGTTATCATGATGAATATTTTTTATATTCTTTTATTTGATAATGCATTTTTGGAGTTAATTGTAAAAAAAACATTATTATGCCCAGAATATATAGAATAAGGTATTAGCCACATATAATAAACACACATAGTTATTCTGAACTATATTAATAAATAAAAACAGTATAATTTTACTTGTATACATTATTAATAAAATGTAATTTTTTTAATACATATTTAAAAATAATAACATAGACATATAAATATATATGCTAATTCCTCCGAAGCTATTAGTGAGCGGCATATTTTTTCTAATCATAAAAAAGTTTAAGCATGAATGTAAATAGAAAAAGTGTAACATTTGCAATCAATAATTAATTTTGTTCATATTCCTTCAAGTAGAATATAATTATTTTTGTTCTCCTTATATATTACATTAAAAAAAAATTGTATTTCCATTATATTAATTATTCGTATAATAACCTTAAAAATCGATGAATTATGTTCTTCCTACATTTAGAATAAAACTAAAAATATACTTAATGGCGATTATTATTAGTATCAAAATATAAAATAACTGTGATAAATATAACGAATTCATATTCTAATAATTTTTGTAATATTGAAATATTTAATATTAATATTACATAAAAAAAAATGTTTAGTAAGAAAATTTTAGACATGTAGTTCTTATATTTTATCTGTAAGTAATAAGAAATTACATTTGATGTTATAAATAAAATATACTTTCTTTTTTATTTTAAATAAATTTTATGTAAAAACAAATTGATAAACATTATATAATTTGTAAAAATTTAAGACATTAATTGTTAAAAAAGAAATAAATACATTTTACAGAAAAACAACCTATAAATTTAGACAAGTTATAATATATAAAAAAAAATTATATCTTAATTTTTGCGTCTTTCCTGTACTAATAAAACATACATGAATAGAAATTTCACACATATGTACTATAAATGTTTGGTAATCGTGATATATATATACATAGAGCACATTATAAATATATAAAATCATGTAAAATTGAAAACAATAATTATTTTTTATTTATGAAATTTTAATATTCCCATTTAATATGGCATAAAAACGTAGAATCTTATTAATATAAATAATTTTTTTTCAAATGAATTTTACAAAATTGTCATAAATTGTAATTCCCATATGTTTTCTATATTATAAATTAATATTTTATTTATAGCATATATTTTTGTGAGGTACACAGACCTATTCACATAAGCGACAAAATATTGGTTAATATATCGAAGAAATATATAAACTGTATTTTCATTCACTCACATTGTAATATGATAAAAAAATTTTTTGTATATTCTGATATTACATTATTAAATTAACAAAGTAGGCTAAAAAAACTTTTTCCTAAAAATTAAAGAGTACCCATTTCTTATGTAAAATTATTAAGCCAAATAATTTTTATTAATTCTTTTACAGCTTTTGCTATATATATAAAGAAGAATTTATTCTTCGATTAATAAATTTAAGCATGTAACTAAACACAATTATATAAAACATTATAACTTTCATTCCCTCAATATTTCTAGAAGTTTC